GTGATGCTAGACTTAGTTGTTAAACATCGATGTAATTGTAGTAATTACTAGAATATTAATAAAGTACTAGCATGACTACCTAAGAAAAAAAAAATAATAATAAAAAAAAAAAATAAAAAAGCATTTTGCAGATAATATATCTTCAAAAGTTATTTCATATAATTCTTATTTAGCAGCTTAAGCTTTTAATTTTATCGATATAGAATTTTATCCAGTAATGAATAAAATTTAAAAAAAATTTTTGCTTCTGTTCCAAAGAGAAATGAGCTATAATTATTAATATGATAGAAAAGCATATGCTTTTACATCTTCTAATACCTAATTTCAATAAAAATTTTTTAACAGCTTAGGAAATATGGCATCAATTAACATATAAAATTTATAAATTCAGTGTTAATAATAATTTACAATATGTTTGGACATATATGTGGTATAATTGTTATCAAAAAGAATCTTGAATTTTGTAAGCAAAATCTGGAATATCAGAAAAAATTTGCTTATTTCAGATAACAATGCTTTGTGAATTATATTAAAAGGTCATCAAGCAGGATTACTTGCCAAAATTTTTCTGTTCTTGCTTAGATTTAGTAATCTATATTATTTTTACTCATATAATTCCTCATAATTTACATCAATATAATAGATATTATAATAGTCATAAAAAAGCTTCATGATGAAAAAATTTTAAAAAAGAATAGATTACTATACAAAAAACTGAAATTAATAATGTTTATTTTACAAATATTGCAAATTGAACATGCAGTTGTTTGGCATTTTTAAAAAACCAGTTTATGCTATATAAACATTTAGTTCAAGCTTCTATCTTTAAGATTAATTTATCTTTTTTTCATACTATTAAGTGACAAGAAGTTTATCCTTTTTTATATTTATCTCTTAACCAAATTTTAAATAATTTAGAAGAAAATTTAGCAGAAAATTTTATTGAAGATTCGATAGAAGATTCAATAGAAGATTCAACAAAAAATTTGACAAAAAATTCATTCTTTAATTCAAAACAAGATAATAATTATATCACTATTACATTATCTATATATGCATATACTAATTAATTTATTTTATATATTAATTAATTTAAACTATAAATTAGATATCTTGAAAGATATAACAAATTCAAACTATAATGATGAGTCATTACAACTTTTTAGCAAATATAAAACTATCTTACAAAGTGAATTGGAAATTGTTCATGAACAAGAAAAATCTGATAATATTAAATAAGCTCAAGCTGTTCAAAAAAGCTTTAAAGGAATTGATAAATTGGTGACTGACATTTAATAATACAGAAGAAGGACAACAAATCTACGAATCTGAAAGAATTACAATAAACACACCATGTATTTAAAATAATTATATCAGGTATATTATTTGAAATTGCAATTTATATTAAAATTTTTTTATAAAAAACATACTTATATATTATTTATTTTTATTTCAAACATAATTAACAAGATTTATTATTCAATATATGTCGCAAAATAGCAAGAACTATAAGAAAGTTTTTCTTATTTTTAAATTGAAACTGAATTATTAATAAATATATATCATAGTTATAAAACAAATATTGATATAATAATAGTAAGCACAAAAGCTTAGGCCTACTGAAAAATTAATTGCAATCAATTTTGTCATAATTTTTAATTAGTTGCAATTGTATATTCACATAACAAAATTAATTGAAACCCAATTAATGATGAAATAATTGCAATTAATTACAATTAAATTTAATTTTCTTTAACTAAACTGATACCTTGTAGAGTATCCTGATAATACAGGTTTTACATAATCGTACATATAAAATAATACTTTAAAAAATTAATTATCGTTTACATATGCAGTTGCTAAAACTAAAAATCAAAGTTCCATATTTATTTCTTAATTTGGTTGATATCTTGAATTGATCATATTTTGTTATTCATTCTTAGAAGCAAAAGATTTTTTAAGATATGCAGATCAAGAGATTTTCTCCAATTTGTATAATAATATTTAACAATTGAAAACAACTGTTCTACTGCATTAGACATAGAAGGAATAATATTTATATCCAAGTATTTTGATTCTTCTATTTTATGTTTTTTTGCAACCCGTTCTTTCATAGTCATAGGTCATTTTTCAATTATTAGTTGTATGTTTTGTTCTACAATAAATGATTAAAGTTTTTGTTTTTTAGTGAATGTTAGTATAGTTTCTTGCTTGTACAAGACTTTGATTACAGCTATTTCAAATAAAGGATCATAAATTATTGATGCATTTCTTTCTAATCAATTTTCTAATTCTGGACGTTCTTCAACTAACATATCAAAATATGCATAAACATCATCTAGATTCATTGATTCACTTTGCAAATTATTGGTTACTTCTGAAAAATATTTAAGTTGATTAATAAAATCATTAACTTTATTTAAATTTAATTGTTCAATTAACAAAATATTATAACCTAAAAAATAAAAAACAAATAAAAAATAAATAAAATAAAAAAATAAAATAAAAAAAAACAATAAAATAAATAAAATTATATAAACCTGAACATTCATTAGCCTGTATAATATAAGGAAGAAGTTCTTTACATCGTTCAATCATTTTTACTATACTTATCCAATAAGTTGCATTATCTAATTTAGGTTTTAATGATGTCACTTTTGCAAGCTTTTCACGATTTTATATGTTTGCATCATAATTACAATTGTACGAATTTGATTTATAATAGCAGTTGAAAAATTAATAAGATTATTAATTGCTAAATTTAGATGATGTGATGCATTTTCTACAAGCAGAAGATCCAAATCAGTAGCTATTTTTTTATTAGTACTACAGTTATCTCTGAAATAAACAAGATATTTTTAATACTTTTATTATACAATTCTAAAACATCTTCAAAAAACTTGATATGTGCATCTGCACTCTGAGTAGTATGATCTTTGAATGGTGAAATCCTAGTAAAACTAAATTTCTGGATTTATATACAGTTTGATAAACACCAAATAATCCAACAAAATAAATTCTATTACTTGTCCATCCATCAAACATAATTCTAATCTTTTTAGGTAAAATATTTTTTATTTTTTCTTGTACAATATCTGCTAAACTATTAAAATACTTGCTAACCATAGAAGTATCTAATTTTGAAAAACCAGTATGTGCAATAAAATCTGGATTTTTATATGCATTAAATGGAATTTGGCACTTTACAATAAGACATATTCAGTTAAAAATATTATGCATATTTGTGCTATAATTAAGTATATCATTATTTGCCATTGAAGAGCTAGCACATTCAGCATGTTGTTGGTAAATAAACTTGAAATTTTCATGCTTAGCCTCTAAATGGTTCATTAAATTTATATAACTAGCTCTTTTTTTTTGTGAGATTAACTGCGATCCAGAAGGACACAAATTATATTGATGCTTGCCATTAGTTATAGATTCAAAAAAGGCCTCACAATAATATTTGTTTAACCCTTTTACACTTATTGAAACATATGTGAAAGTGAAAATTTTGTATATACTATTTTGATATATCGATATGTGTTTTTAAAAGCTTTGTCATTGTTATAAATATGATGTAATTGTTTATAATATATAATGATAATTGCAATTAATTGACTAATTGTAGCTATGCCATCAATTAATTAATTATAGTCAAATAATTGCAATTAATTTTCTACTACAATAAATTATTCGGTATGCCTGCAAAAGCTTATATAAATGTATTAATCTGACTTTGAAGTAAATTAATAAAATAATTTAGTTTCTTAAAAATACAAAAAACTATTTTTGATTATGCAAGTATTATAAAGAAATATTACAGTAAAATTGCTATTTTCAAATATTATTAAACATATATTTTTTATATTTTATAAATATTATAAATAAAAGCAAAATTTACTTTATTAAATTCTGCTTTTAATATATTAAATTATTTTGCATTTTATAATTTGTGACAAAAATACTATCTTATTATTATTAATTTTAAGACCTCTTTATAAAATTATATCTTATAATACTATAAACTTTATTTGCTACTTAACTATCAAAAGCTAATTTTATAAACAAACAATTCTTTATTTACACTTTTACACTTATATATAGAGTTTAAGACACAGGAGCATAGGGCATGCCCCTAAAGTCATGCTTCTAGGGCATGCTTATAGGCATGCCTCAAGTCCAAAGAGCATGTTCTTGTTATGTGATGTTTAAAGTTATTTTAATTAGCCAATAAGTTTAGGTAAACTAGAACCGTAGATACTAAATCAACATGTAAGATTTTTAAGAAGTTGTGAACTATGTGTTAATTACATGATTTAAAAAGAACATGCCTATGGGCATGCCTAATTTTTTTCCCATGTCCTAAACCCTACTTATATATCTATTACTACATAATTTTATTTCACCTAACTCTGTTTTATACAGATATATATAAAGCTAAAAAACAATTTATATTTTAAATTCATATAGACCTTCATTCATTTAATATCAAATTAATAACTTGCTTTATGTGTTTTTTTTTTATAGAATGAATCTAACTAGATCTTTGATTTTATTAATTAATAGATAATATTTTTCACTTTATTAAATAGCAGATAATATTTTTCATTTTATTAAATAACAAATAATATCTTTCACTTATTAAATAACAGATAATATCTTTTACTTTATTAAATAACAGATAATATCTTTCACTTTATTAAATAACAGATAATACCTTTCATTTTATAAAATAGCAAATAATACCTTTCACTTTAAATGTTTTTTAAAGATGTTCAAAATTTATACAAATATTTCTTGACGATTACCAAACTAATCCTGATAATTATTTTTATTTTCATTCTACATGTTTATAGGATTAAAATAAAAAAAAATTATTAAATTTGTCCTAGTAATCGTTAAGAAACCATTGCTAGAAATTTTTGAATAAATTAAACTTTAACATACTGTACTTACATACGTAATATGTTTATTGTCGATCATGTGCTAATCCAGCAATCTGATTGGCTAGCACATCACATATTGCAGAATTTTTCGGGGTGTTGTTGGGATAGTTCAAGTGATCACTATAATCACGTGATGAGTTCTGTCCACCGCTTCCGTGATTTTGATTGGCTGATTGATTGAATATATGATCACTCAAATACATGTTTATTTTTTTACTGTATACGTATATACGATATAGAGTTTAAAGATCATAAGGTAGCACAAATTTAGTTGGATGTTTGTGTACGTACTAAATCATCGTAACATACATACTAAGATGAGACTTGTTGTTTCTCACGTGTTTGCGTAGACGAACTTTATTTGCCAATTATTTGATGCATTTTCAAATACAGTACATACCCAAACAAAGTTGAATTCGATAATGGCCGTGTGTATGTGATCATGTCGTACATATCATTCAAAGTATTCCAAAAAAAAAGTTTATGTTACGTACGTACAACATGGGTTAGCATCGCATTGTTGCAGATATTTTTACAGGGGATCATCGAATTTCGGGTCGGATCCATCGGATTTAGGCCGGCATTTAGCAATCAGCTGGTAGCTTTACTTAATGAGTGAGCCATGACTTTATTGGTAAAACTTTTAGTGCAGTTAATTCTGGCCCTGCCGAACTTGATTTCGAGGTATTTTGGCTCGGAATTTTGGTGACCCGAGTTACTGCAGTGCGTTTAGATGGTTACGGTACGATTCCCCGAAAACTACTTACCCTAAAGTGATATCGGGTAAATGGACTGTCGGTAAGTAGTTTTCGAGGAATTGAGCGACAACCCTTTTGGTTTAGATTAGTGCTGTAGTGTGCAATGGCTTTAACAGATGATTGTCATTGGTTAGGTCATTAGATTAGAGTAGTGATTGGTACCGGTTTAAATGTTTTAATAAACTGTGGGTCAATCGCTGGGTGTGCGGATTTACAAATCTAATTCACAAATACTATAAATCTCTATATTCGGATTATCATCGTTTAGATAGTAACTTTGAATCCTACTACTTCTAAACCAGGGTGTCTATAAAAATAATGTTCTAATTTTCAAAATCCTCTTGACGTGCTCTATAAAAATATCGATGCATTTTTTTAATATTTCTTGAATTAATTGAATTGCAATAACTAACCATCGTTAAGTAAAAGTTGACCTTATAGCTTAATAGAGCACGTCAATATGATTCTGAAAATTATAAAATTATATTTTTATAGACACGCTAGTTCAGAAGTAGTAGAGATTCGGAGTTAT